TGAGTCCTGAGGTTTTGGTACCTAGTTCTCCTGCGCCTGCCAGTTCGAGCATTGAGTGAGAAAAGATCACGTGTGCGTGTCCTGCCTTCATGTTTCTATAAATGGAGGGGGTGTGTTAATCCTACGTTCACACTACATAAATTAAAAAACAGGGTATCCTTTTTGGACACCCCGTGTCGATTTCTAAGGAAACATCAGAATAAATTGCAGTCTTGGATGACGCCCTCGTAAAATGACGGTAAATTGTCAAAAGACTCACATGGCCAGGATTTTGATCTTGATTGTGGAGTACTCCTCGATCACTAGAAGCATCTAGAAGCACTGTACTCGAGATTGCTCAAGGCACTATTTAAACCTATTTACTATCAGATGAGTAACAAGAAGCTACTAGGAGCAAGGACGCTATTAATGGCTCCTGGCATCGCTACTAAGGAGCATTCTTACTAGTACTTCGCTCCTTCCATTCAGAGCAGACTTTTTTGAGGTGGTGGTCTTTGCCCTGGATTGAACAATGTGATCCGTGAGCTCGCTGGGATCCTCAGACCAGAAGGATCCTGGGGGTGACAACGAGAATTTGGGGTTTTCCGAGGTGAAGGTGTGGAGACAAAGAAAGACTTGCGACTAGTGAGGTTCAACGACCGTCTCATGGGCACAACATGTTACATATCGTTACACTGAGCTAGTGGCACATTGACTCTTGGGATGTATGTGTATATGTACAGTATATGTAACTATATATAATATATACAGCATACATACATATATATGTATATATACACTGACCCGCTGCATCCCAAATCATATGGCAGGTAATGATGCTTTATGCCTACGGTGTCAAGAAGGTCTACGGCATCAAAGGAGGTTTCAAAGGCACTGAATTGCAGGGGCTTACTATTTTGTTGAGATGAGACCGTTGCTAGCGCATGTCATGTGGCTTCCGGAGTGCCGGTCTTGTCCGCTACCACACCAAGACCGACTCCAGTGACATTGGACTTTGCGTGCAGGTGTGGTGAACCCACAGTGTTGGATGACCTTGACACCAGAGAATGTACAAGACATCCACTTGCAAGGCATCGGGGGCCCCAGCACATGTGTGTGTTTTTGCTATTCATTGGGGTCACACTGGCAGCCATGCCATCTATTTGTGTGCAGAGGCTACCGGCCAGTTAGGTAGAGGACGAGACCGCTAAGGTGTTTTTGCAGTTACGGAGAACCTTTTGCAAGGTGTTGAATGGTGTATACTGATAGAACAATGGAGACTTAGTCACAACATGTTACAACTGACTGGTTGGTTTTTTTGCAGTGCTTCCTTGCTTCCCCTTCCGCCATATGGATATTGGGCCGGCTGCCAGGTGGATCTATCCTGGTGAGTGATCGTGGAAACCCGCCACACCCGGAGATGGCCGGGTGGGTCGCTGGGGGGCTGGGACAGGCGCATAGGCATGCTGGTCGACAAGTTTTCATTGGATTTATGCCTGATTGATGTCGCTGAGTGCAGCAGTGAGCAGTTGTGCTTCCCAACGCCACGGGGCAGTAAATGCCCATTCTCCACTTCTTCAGCTTTGGCCCATGTGTCGTCCATTTTGTGAATTTTGTGCAAATACCTGCGAAGGCCAAGATGCTAAAGAAGAAAGGTGTCCGCCAGCACTTTGTCCTGGGTGGCGATGGAACGCAGAAAGGCAACCAACCCAGATCATCATGCAGACAAATGACGCGGATGTTGGTACTGCAGGCTCACAGTCCAGCATAGTCCAGCAAAAAGGTGCAAAACGACCCAGGTGCGCATCAGACCTATGACAAGATGCAAGAAATTGGCCCTGCTCCAAGCATTCGGTAGTCAGATTCAGCACCCTGAAGAGATTTGTATTATTTTTTCGGGTGGTACGTTCTTCCATCTTCGTCCTGCGTGTTTGTTTGTGCACGGGCTCACGTCCGTGCTTGCGTTCACAAGGTTGGGAGTGCGCAGTGGTTGGCATTCCAAAGACAATCGACAACGACATCAATTTGCTGGACGGCTTATGGCATTAGCACTCTTGGAGCAGCATGGAAGCGAAACATGAGGAAAGTCCACGCAAAGTCCATGTTTCCCAAAAAGTCTAGGAACCAAATCATTACGCCAGAGCCTTTTGCGTCCTAGCCTACTAGCAGCTATCATCAGCTATCTACTTATATAATATACAGTACCTACCCTTACCTCTCCTCCTCACGGCCTACCTCGGGTCCCCCCACCCCGGCCCCCCAAAAGAAAGAACCTGACGGAAAGGTGGGCAATCTGAGACTGAGCACGCTGGCTCTCCGTGCGCAGGATCGTTCCTTTGGCTTTGACACGGCTATGTGACTCGGCCGTGACTGCGCATGGGCAAAGCAATGGATGAAGGGAATTTGCAAAGCAATGCATCATGATCAACATTGATCAACACTTAACCCCTGCTTGGCTGACGAGGAGGCGCATTGGATTCAGCTCATGAAGATTCAGTAATTAGCAACTGTTAATTTAATATACTGTATATATACTGTAATATCGTTGCCAGCTTTTTAACTTTTTGAGCTGAGCAGTTGTGATCATTGGGCCTCATGGTGCGTGTCTTCCACGCAGCTGTCATCACCTGAGCCTCTAAGGTCAGAGGCGCTGAAGGCCATTGAAGTGGCGTATGTCGAGGCGACATGCAACGCCAACTGCATCGGCTTGGTGAAGCTCATGGGAAGGCAAAAGGGAAAGCTCTTGAACGTGAATCCGTGGCATTCAGCAGTTTGCACACAAAGCTAGGGGCAGACAAGCCATGGTGTTCATGTTCCTTTTGCCTGCAGGCACTGTGGCTATTTGACAATGATGTCTGTGCTGGCAGCACGAAACGTGGATATTTGCTTGCTTCCGGAGATGGATATCAACCTTGATAAGGAGGGAACGTGCTTGAGTATTGAGTATTCCAAGTAAATACTGTACCCAAGAGTGGCAGGTGTTCAGACGGTCATGTGACATTTTTTGCATTGCTGGCGCTTCCACACCTAGCCACAGTCTAAAGTGTAAAGATCCCCATGGCAGTGTTTGTTGCTAGATGATTGGCATCTCATCAAGATGTTCAACTCTTTGTTCGACTGTGCCGCTTTCTCTGCAGGTATTGGATCACTGCGTCGAGCTGGTGAGCACTGCTGGGA